ACAAAGCACAGTCCTGTGATTTGGTGACTCGTTCGATATGCAAAATCTCGTCGTCACTTTTTCTCAGTTTTCCTAAAAATTCTTGCTTAGCAACCTCCAAATCAATGTCGTTCATGTCAGGTTTTTGACAGAATTCGCCATAAAGCTATTATATATTTTCTTTGGAATTGCTATCCGAATTGTTAGTTATTTTTATATCAACTTTTATTGGTCTGAGTTTCTTTCCAATATTCTTACCTTTGAGTTTTTGTTCCATCTTAGTGATAAGCGAGGTTGGACTAAGCTTAGAACGCAAATGTATTTGGACCATATAGACAGGCCGCTCGGTATTGTGGCTCACTACAGCTGCAGCACATCTTTCATGGTATGACCTTGGAATAATTTATTCGCTTACCCCAATGTATTTTGCGATTATAGAGTTGAACTGCTCCACACTATTGTTGTCCTCATCATGAATTAAACTCACTGAATTCGTAATTAAAATTGTCGCATATGACCTTTTATTGTCCATTATGAATCTTGATAAAAAATTCACTCAAGGACAATCACAACAACAAGAGTACAACACAACAATTCAACAACACAATATCGACGAACAGTAACAAGGGTAAAACAATACTAAATGATGAGCTGACTACCAAAATAGGAAACGATCTACAGGTTAGATCGCTAATCGAAATCCGACTCTGTTATTATAAAAATGTACCTCGGTAGGCACCCGCAGTCATCCCTTCCTCTTTTAAAGTAGCGCCGACCACCGTCTAAGACCAGCCCACAATCTTTCCTTTTCACCCCCCGTTAATGTACGGATTTTCATAATAGACACCTGCCTAATTCAAAGAGTTTCCAACGAATCGATCAGTGGTTACGAGAAACTGGTAAGAAAAGATTATAGCTTATTTTGAATAGTAAAAACTATTTCGATTTTAGATAGTTTTGCTGAAAATATGGGCCGACACAGCTGAAGTTTAAGAAAATGTTTTAGATGCTGTCTTTGAAAATCCTACAGTTGGGGTTAAGAATGTAGCTCGAGAATTTCAAGTTTCCAAATTCCATTGTTCAAGAGCACCTGTTCCATCCATACCACCTGCAAAAAGTACATGGTTTAAGCGCGGATGATAACCCGCAAGGGTAGAATTTTGTACATGGCTCTTAAGGAAGTTCAGCCACGACAATGGTTTTACTTCGTTAATATTATTTTCGGATGAAACAGGATTTGGAAGGGATGGGCCCATTAACTGCAGTACACCACCAAGTACAATTTTAAATTAATTTATGGGCAGGAATAATTGGACAACATTTAATAGGACCCATTGAGTTACCACCTAGACTAAATGGCCAAAGATATTTACAATTTCTTGAAGAACTATTACCCACTCTGCTGGATTATCTTACAAACACGCATGAATATATGTTTTATCTATCACGGCGCTCCACCTCATTTTATTATATAAGTTAAAGAGCACCTAAATAGAGTTTATCCAGACCAGTGGATAGGCCGATCAGGACCTGAATCGTGGCCGGCTAGATCACCAGATTTAAATCGTATGGATTTCTTCTTCTGGGGTGATTTAAGACGACGCGTTTACAATACGCCAGTGGAAACTGCAGATGATCTACGACAAAGAATTTTCCACCACAGTCAGGAAATGAAAAATAACATCCAAATGCTTTGGAGAATGCAGCAAGGATTATTTCGTCGAGCTCGAGAGTACGTGAGGCAAGGTGGTGCTCATTTTGAACAATTTTTGTAGTTAATATTTCCGTATAGTTTTGTTGCCATCCTCATTTTTATTGTTAAAAGGCATAGCAACGCTATATTATCCAAAGCAACTTGATTATTATTTATTAAAATGTTTTATCATCATGGTACAAATAATGCATTGGAATTTTTAAAAACAAATATCTCGAAAACTATTAGCTCTAGACATTTCTGACAAGTAAATCTTTTTTGTTGTGGAAATACGAGAAAATAAGATTTTTCGGTCAGTTGTATACAGGGTAGCACAAAAAAGTTATGATAAGTAATTTACTGAAATAGTGCTGTAAGTGGCGCCCTCTAGAAGTTTGGCGATAAAAAATAACGGATTCTTATTTCTCATAATAGAAAACCTCCCTATACCGAGTTTTATGCCAAAATCTGAAATACTCGTACTTCTCAAGCAATAAAGAAAACTAGAAAATAAAACTGTAACTTTGACACCCTGTATCTCGCAAACTATCAACTTTTGAACTAAGGTATGTTTAGATCAGTTGATATTTTTGGTCTGTAGTATCTTCAGTTTCGAGATTTCCCAACCTTTCGCAGACACCCTGTGGTATACAGTGTGTCGAAGATAAAGATAAAATAACATTGAGATTTCGAGAATTAGAAGCTGGTTTCAGCCACAACTGGATGGATTTTCCGTTTTGCTTCTCTTGTCTCCCAGTTTAACTCTTTCTGTATGAGAAAATAATGGTTATATTGGTTTGAATTGAACATAGAAATGAAACAGTGATTTTTGATGGCAATGACAATCCAGCCGATAGTAGATACAAAATAATCTATCTGATGGTCACTATAAATGAGATGCATATTATGTTGTTTTGAAAGACATCTTTCTAGTTTTGATACAGTTTTAATTATGTAGCCATAAATGATTAATTTTGCTCCACTAAGTTTGAAGGAGAAAAATGAATTCAGTGAAGAGTCTTTGACTTTATTGTATGCGATTGAATTACTCAATCATCTATATATCATATAAAAATTGTTGATATAATGAATTTGAAATAATATAACTTTCTGCTCCAAATTCTAAGTATCTGAAAAATATTCTATAGATGTTAATTATGAAAACAACAAATCACAATAAATTTACGCGAACTTGCGTTTCACCTTTTTTTATTTAGGACCACAAATCCTACCTTTAACGAAGAGAAGTGTAAAACCACAAAACATAATTATACACTGTAAAACGCGTATACGAACGAATTATAAAATGGCGCCCATTGGCGTCTGCGCCAGATGACATACAGAATCACCAGAGTACAGTCCGAAAAATCCCTAGATTTAATCTTAATATAGTTGCATGAAAATATTAAGAGTTCGAAGAAATAAGTTTTTTATACCTACCTGGAACCGCCATCCAAAGTTACTCACATATTTACCGTTCACGAACAATCACGCAAAATAAAAGACATCCTAAGAACGTCTCATGGACGTTTCGAAAAGACATTCTGGTTATTCAGTGGAGTGCTAATTACTGCCGCAGTATTTGGCACATTGAACGTTTCGTAGTTTTTGTCAGAGATACCTACATATAGCATATAATAGTTGCTTACGAACTGACGATTTTCTGTAATGTCATATTTATCAAAACTCGCAGAACTTTTCTTCCAACTCATTTATATCGAAGGCAATTAATTTTAAATACATCATAACCCGCTTCGTTTAATCTGGATCACTTTGTCGGAAGCTTGCATTTCATAGATGTGTCAACTGTTAAAAACACTGTCCGTATGTAGGTTTACAGCTTCATTATTCAGAATTTAATGTTACCCAATTAGTCTTGATTACGCTGTTGTAAAACAGGTTTTTTTGCAAAAATTTCACGTTTTTATTATGATATTTCATATGTATAAAGTCTTAACGAAATAGCCGTATGTTTTATGTTTATGATCTTTGCCGATTCTGTAATTAATAGCTTTTTAAAATTAAATGGCTTAATCTTTCCCTGAGTAGCTGCAAGGTTAGGCAAATGCGATGCAAAATGTAGTACATGAGAATCAATGTCTGCCTAAAGTACAGTCATACAATTTGTGTCACAGATTTAAGAAGGAAATCATTATCATCATCCGTTTTGATTCCAGAAGATATATTCGCATTGGCCGTTATTTGCTTTATGGCTCAGTAGCATAATAAAAGTGTATGTTTTATCAAGTCCCCAGGTAGTACAAGCACGTGAAAATCACGTTGCAAACTGGTCAGGAAATGACGAGTTGAATGACGTAAAAGTAACGTGAAAATGACCTCCTAATTTCACATACCGATGAAGTCATATGCAGATGTTAATAATACGGCACTTGCTGAACGTCAAGATGTCTATTATTTATGATGAATAATCAGTTTTAGCTTCTTCAAAAAATGTTATGTTTACAGTAGTAAGCAGTATAAGACTTAAGTAAAATATTTTACCTTTTTACATCAGGATTTTTTTTTAAGAGAAATTAATGGTTTCTCATCGAAATTGGCTACAAAACAGCTACAAGACAGCTACAAAGCTGGATGAGTGCAGATGGTGGTTTTCTTCAATGCCTTCCCACTAAAAGGGAGGAGATATGCACGTGGTCAGATGGTATAAAAAAGGAACTTACCGCTGAAGAGGTTAATACGAGTATATATATATATATATATATATATATATATATATATATATATAAAAATAAAAATGTAGAGTGTAGCACCCAAACCAAAACAAACAACTAAACGCAAGGTAGGTACAAAAAAGGGTGCTACTCAAACTGGTGACTGGAGCCTAACATCCCACAATCTGGAAATCAAACGAAGGACCCACACACACCTTAGTCTACGCTTCAAGAGGAAATAAAAATGACGAACTGTCAATCAATGTCAAAAGTAGGAGGACGCTGCTTGCCAGTGGGCGGACCCTATAAAACCAGCTTCACGAGGAACCAACGATATTTCGTGAGGAAATTTCTGAAATAGTCATTCATAACATATTATAACATTAGTGTCCAAAAGATCTCAACACAATACTGAGTTGCCAAGAAAGAAAGATATAATATGTTTAAAATCATACATTCAGGATTACGCTAATATAAATTATGAAATTTGACAAAACAAAATCATTTAAAAGTGATCAAAATAGTAAAAAAAAATGTTACGTGATTTTGGTACGTTACACTGTTTTTTCGTCGGAGCGGCTCTTCTACTGGTAACTCTGGTTTCTTTGCTACTTATTTCTGTTATTCATATACAGAGAGTAAATCAGCTTGATTCTGTTTTATAAGCATCATTTTTAATAACTGTTATTTATTTTTCAGATCGGCATCTAATATGGACAACACAGTCAAAAGGGTAACGTTACATATCAAAATAGCGTTTATATTCCTAAACATGGCGTTAGCCATGTCATTATGCAAAGAAGAGGCAAAATCTAGACAAAAGAGGATACTTTGGATCACAGAGGATGGGCGATTAGCGTTACCTCCCGGCACTACATTGGTCATGACGCCATCATTGTCTATGCCGTTCGTGCGATACCCACCTGAAGGATTCTTCTCTAACCTTACCATCAGTTTACCATTTACCAGTAAGTCAACATTTCAAAAAAAAAAATACTTTCACTTCTTTTTCTGCATGCGCTTGGTTTGTTTGCTTGTCGATTTATTTAGCATTAATGCTACAATATCAATGTTAATATTTTATGTCTTCAAGTCTACATATTTTTATACAAAATTTCACTACTATGAATTCTGGTTTTTCATGAAATGTTGATATATACTAAGTGACATATAAATCCGAACACTCAGTTTAAATGGTTTTATTTTAATAAAATTTTGTATATGTACTTAATGAAGCATAATAAGTAAATGATAAAATTTTCAAAATGATTGCACTGCTTTAAAGCCCTTTGACCTTTAATAATGTGTGGATGCACCCTGATGTGCTACGCAGTCTCCAACGCGCCTAGGCGTGCTTCTGATCAGGTGGTCAATGTCCTCCTGTGGTATCTCATTTCAGGCAACCACCAACTCCTCTCGAAGTGCTTCTAGAGTCTGAGGAGGACTTTGCAAATTGAGCAATCTCCTACCCATCATATCCCACACGTGCTCAATTGGGGATAAGTCGGAAGATCTTGGTGGCCATGGTAACAATGTGACATCATTATGTTAAAAGAAGTCTATTGTGACTCTTGCAACATGTGGTCGGGCATTATCTTGTTGGAAAGTTGGATCTGCCAGGGTGTCAAGATCGGGTAAAAGATGGGGTTCTAGAACTTCGTGGATATAACGCTGCGCGTTCATGTTACCTCTGATGAAGATTAAAGGTGACCTGGAACCATAAGCTATAGCACCCCAAACCATAACTCCAACAGTGTGATGAACATGTCTTTCAACAAAAAACTGTGGATTCCTCCTTTCACCACGTCGCCTTCTAACCCTGGCACGACCATCGTGCATGCCTAAACAAAATCGAGACTCCTCACTAAAGACAATACTGTTCCATTCGTGATCCCAGAGTGACCGTTGTCTGCACCACTCAAGGCGATTACGTCGGTGTTCTCGAGTTAAAGGGAGGACCCAGTGTGGCCGGTATGAAAACAGGCCAAAACTTCTCATTCGTCGGTAAACACTTCGCATGCCAATAGGTCTTCCGTGTTCTGCAAACCATTCATTTGCAATGGACCTGGTAGTGGAGAAACGGTCCCTTAAGGCCAATAATCTTAGGCGGCGATCTTCACGGTCTGTTGTTCTACGGCGGCGTCCAGTGCCCCTTGCTCTTTGCGTACGGCCTTCTCGAAGCCATGCCTGACAACACCTAACCACAGTGTCTACACTTCTTTGCACTCTAACTGCAATTGCCCGAAAAGAAAGTCCAGCTTCCCGAAGTCCCACTATACGGCCCCTATCAAGCTCACTAAGTTGACGAAATCGTACAGGTCTCCGTACTCTAGGCATCGTAACCGATCGTAAAGGATGTCAAGAACCAAAATCCGCCAACGTTGATTCTTTACTGCGGCTGAAACATTCATTTTTAGAGCGTTAGTGAATTAAAAAAAACAGTATAAAAACCGGAATGTCCAACTGATAAGGCTGAAAATTTGTTCACTTGTTATTTACAGTAAGATAAATACATTCACATACTTTTATTAAAATAAAACCATTTAAACTGGGTGTTCGGATTTATATGTCACTTAGTATAATTACTTAATTTATTAATTCCGCATAGTGCTTTATGAAATACTGATGTTATATTGCTACTACAATTTTGTGAATGGAAGTCTATACTTCCTCTCGTAGAATAACAATTCAATAAAATACAAATTTATAGCGTAATGAACTCTTGTGACTCAAATCTCGATCTTTCGACAGACTATGCTGTCACCTTCAGGAACTAAAAAAACAAATTTGAAAATAGCAACCCAGTTAGAGCAATTTAACTTTTATTACTTACTTAGTCGGTGAGGTTGCTGCTAAATGGTTTTTTAGTAAAATACATAGATGAGACAAGTGCCAAAACCTTTATGTTGCCTCGGTTTTCGGCCATACATTTTTTGCTATTAGTCGGATCTTTTTACGTGTGGTCTCATTTTGTAGGTCTCGTAAATACCTATTTTTAAAAGTTTTGTCGGTCCTGTCAACAATCACAAAAACACGGTTTTTCATTCTTTGTTTTCGAATAAAATATTTCCCGCAAAAATTGGTGTGCCCATTTTATGCGTCCTTGTCTTAGGCCCGTATCGTCAGTCGTCCCGACAATTGTATGGCGCCTTTATGGCCTCCTTGATTGTCATAGTTTTCTACTTCTCCGTGTCAGAACTCTATTTTGAGGTTATGTCACAAACATCTATTTGCATCAAATTGTGCTTGCTTTTGAGTTATATCATGTTTTATCAGCCTGAAATTTCCTACAATTTAAAAAGAAAACATATCTTCACAATAGGAGAGCGCTGACGCTGACACGGGACAAGTGCAATCTAGAAATTTTTGAAGGAGAGAAAGAAGTATGACAATCAAGGAGGCCATAAACGCGCCCTACAATTGTAGGGACGACTGACGATTCGGGCCTTAAAACCAAACTTTACAATTATTTCTGAAAATTCGCTAATATGATTAGACTATGGCGACTTAATTGCAAGTGAAACGTACAAGTAGCATGAGTGTCTGCAAGCCTTAAGACGTACACTGGGCTACTTTACCTGTTGGGTGCACATTTCAGATAGTATAATGAAGCCTAGCCCACGCGAGTTGATATAACGACGCGTCACAAAAACGTAATAACTCACATTACGGCATTACGCATTTGGCATAACACGCTATTTATGCCCATTTATGTAAAGACTACCTACTTACGTTATACGAGTGACAGTGATAAAGATGATGATTACAAGCTTACCCGTTCATACAGAGTGGGATAGACAAATGGATTAAATTTATTACTTTGATTATTGGGCAATGTGCAATTTAGAATTAATCCCGAAACAGGTCAACTTATAGGATCAAATATTATATCCTATCACGTGCAAATTTCATCATTTTATTTAACACCCTCACCACGGAAGTTGCAAACCCATAATTTTTGAATGATCCTTGCTCATATCAGTTCACGCAGTAGTGAGGAAGCGATTGCCGACTGTGACCTACGATCACCGACGACGACGCTTGTCCATCGGGAGACGACGTCCAACGTATGTACAACCGACTCTAGGAGATATTTCGTCCGTATCGTACAGGTCATTAGGATGTGCACATCTACTAAAATTTCAGTTGGGGGTTATTACCTATGTGATGAGTGATTATTGCCACCGTAGATATTTTATATTTTTCTTGGGAAGACATGCTTCTGCTCTGCCGAATCATCAGCATAATTGGATGTGCTGGACTTTTGAATCTGTGTGAATGGGATTTGACTGCACGCAATTGTTGAACACATTGGAATCCTGGGAGCGTCACTTAAAAATGTATGAATGATACTGAGCTCAGGGGTATTAATCACCTATTACACAGGCAATAACCTCTCACAGAAATTGTGGTAGATGTGTACAGGGTAGCCAGCTAAGGATGCGAGGTACTGTATCTGGGAACCTATCCATCGCAGAGGCTTGCGGCAAAAACAGTTATTACTAAAACGACCAAGATAAAAACCTGGAAAACATTGAAAATGGCCGCTAGGCGGCGTAACTGCAATCTTGAATCTAAAAAAGTGATGTTTCTGAGGATTCCGTTATATTAACCTAACAAAAAATACCTGATCTTCATAGTCGAAGATATTGAGAACTTTTTTTGTTTGAGAATTATTGCCGTATCTCTAACAATAAAGTGCTGGGGGCTATTCAAATGTTATAATATTTAAAGTTTTGTGAGTATAATATTTGAAGTTTCGATAGTTTCACATGTGGCCGCTAGAGGGCTTTTTTCGACATTCCGACAGAAATGGTTAATTTTCTCAGAAAAATTAATTCCATTGGAATGTTTTTTATGAAAAAGTAGCTCAATGATGTCTAGACAAGCAACCGCACTTCGATATCTTCTTCCTAACCTAAAATTTAGGATAAAGAAAATTTTTCTAGACTTGTGGCCCTAAAAAGGACCGATTTTAAAAAGAAAGGTTTTTAATGCCCCCGTCAATGCTCGAAATGCTGACCATCACGCTTTATCCTTTCCTGAAGCCTGTCATGTGTACATAAAACTGCAGCCTCAATTTCGCCTCTCGGTATATTACGTATTGCATTACGAATCCGGTTTTTCATATCTTCTCAGGTTTTAGATTGAGTCTGAAACACGATGTCCTTTAAAGGTCAAACGTCAAAATAAGTATAACTCAAGGCAAGTTAAGTCTGGTGATCGCGAATACTATGGAAAAAGACTTCCTTCCAATCCTCCGCTGTTGTCATACTGCATTAATATTGTGACAAGAATAAATAGTGCTGTTGGCGTCATCTGTTGGGAGACTCTCCTACCCACCAGAGCTTCATGGCCGAACTCTGCTTTTACGCGGACCACGACGCAAGCCGCTTGGCGACATCTGTGAGGACCATGCCAGTGACTCGCCTTCTAGATTGATGCGAAGTGACCTTGAAGAGTCTAGACTGGCGCTTTGTGGCACGCTAGACTTTTCTCGACCCACGATGCGGACTATATAACTCGACGGACGGGAGATGGAAGCTGAGGACGGTAGAGTAGAGTGGAGTATAGTTCAGTCAATGGCGTGACATAAGAATTAGTCAGACATAGATAGTGGTGTACATATAGTAAATGTTCTATCTAGTCAAGATAAATAAATTAGTGCATTTCTTTTTGTGGAATCCAGTGTTTTAATCCACACCCAAAAGAACCCAGAAAAACGCTACAATATGCGCAATAATAGTAAAATGTGCAGGGCAATCTTCCAACAGCAAAAACCAACCACCACCAACAACAACTGTAATTGATTGTCCAAAAAGTCCAGAAAGACATTGCCATTTAGGGATTGCCTGAAAGAATATGGCCCAATAATTCTGTCTCCTAGTATGCCACACCACACATTTACACTTCAACGCCCTTGGCGCTGAACTTCACACAACCAATGCGGATGTTCTGCAGCCCAAGTGATTTTATTGACAATTTAGGGATTATCTATGTTTTGATTAGGTATTTGTTTTGTTGTATTCCATTTCCTGCTTCTATTAATTGTCTTTTTTGGTTACAAGCATTAGCGATATTTTGTAATATTTTCAGAAAGGGTGATTTTATTCTGATGAATAAAAAAGAAAGTTTAAATAATAAAAATTTAAGGGATTTCCGTATAAAATTTTCTTTTTGATAAATTTTAGGTTAGGAACAAGACATGGAGATGCGCTTTCCGCGAGTTTATTTAGACATTATTTAGCTACTTTTTCATGGAAAAAATCATACCAATGCATTTGATTTTCTTGAGAAAATTATCTATTTCTGTCGGAATGTCGAAAAAAACTCCTTGCGGCCACATGTCAAACTAACGAACCTTTAAATATTATAACATTTGTAGCCCAAGAATAGCTCTTTTTAACTACACAAGTTTGTTAAAATCGGCTAAGCCGCTGCGAAGATACAGGTTGTTTTTCATGGAAACCTTTGAATACCCCCACCACTTTATTTTTACAGATACAGCAAACATTCTCAAACAAAAAAGTTCACATTATCTTCGACTTTGAAAAACAGATATTTTTTTTTGTTAGGTTACATTTTTATTCCGCAAGCCTTTACGATGGATAGGTTCCCAGATACAGTTTATGGTTGGCCACCCTATATATCCTAATGTCCCATACATGACATAGCGATCAAATATCTCCTACAGTCGGGTGTCGATACGTGCGACGTGATTCCCTGATGGACAAGCGTCGTCGTCGGTGGTCGTACGAACTCCGCAATCGCTTCCGCACTGCTATGGGCTGTGTGCACTGTGCCTGGTGAAGGCCAATACCGTCATCGCACCGATCATGTGCGTTTGCAGTAATTCCTGTCAGGGGGAGGATAAATGTCATTTAACTTTTTTCTAAGCATGTTCTTAGCTAACTTTTTTTCTCAGAAGGGCTAACTTGTGCCAAACAATTATTTACGAACTGATGACATCGTAGCGTGGGAAGTACAGGGTCAACTTACTTGACGCCATTTTTTTGTCACCAAATGATTGGACTAGGTATACAGTTCATATGTAAATCATCTTTCCAGTCGACTTTAACAAGTTGGGCCTTACGGACAACGAGAACCCTTACGGCGTGGTGCCACCTCTTCTAGCCCGCTCGATGGGTCGAGCCGCAGGCAACGTTTTGGCAGACTACATCGGAGGGCTTCTAGCCAGGCGCTCCACGAGGTCTGTTCCACCCACACCTCTGAAGGAGAAACGGGTGCCGCATCCAGATGCTTTCCATGGTGGGGAAAGGGCGGTGTTGTATGTTGCGCTTGAGGACATGCTGGACAACTTCGGGATGAACGGCCGAGCATGCTTGCTGAGGGCCATATGTGAGGTGCATGCAAATAAGGTGGAGAAGTTCGGGCTCATTGGAGAGGTGCTCAAGCTCTTCTTGAGGTAAGGTGTAATCAGGGATGTTATGCAGCAACCCAACTAGGCAATTTGGTATAGTGAACACTTTCATTCTAGAAGTGAACCGTAATCAATAAGATACAGGATGTACCAGAAAGATGTACGAATTTCAAAACGGCATTAATCGTCACAGGTACGCAGGAGACGTTCACGGGTAGTGGAGATAAGCAGCTTGGTGTTCGGTGCTCGGAAATTTAGTCGCCATGGAGCGTTTCACCCGTAAGCAGCGTGCGATCTGTGTTAAGGCCTATTACAAAAATGGAGATTCGTGCACTATTGCGCGGCGTTCTATTTCGCTCTGATTTTAATTTACATGATCTAAATCAATGTCCTAGTGAACGTGTGATCAGGTCGAGGGTCATAAAATTCGAGACTACCGGTTCGACACTGAATCAGAAACCTGCGGGACGTCCAAGGTAAATACGAACAGAGGAAATGGATGAATGAATCTTGAATTTTAGAGGCATCCCGGCCACCATAAGGAGCCAGTGCATAGGCCGCTTAAGCGGGCCCTTATGCACCTCTACAATACTTAAATCACAAGCCTCGCCCTTTTAGCGAAGTTGAGAATCGCCTTGAGTCCAAGCTCCTTTACGTCCTGAGGGTCCAAAGTAATGGACCCCAGTATAGTCTGCCTATAGTAGCTCAGAGCTTCACAGCGACACAAAACGTGCGCCGAGGTCTCTTCCTCTACTCCGCAGCGTTCGCACAAGGGATCCTCAGCCACCCCCATCACGTGCAGGTGCCGCCTTAACGTGTTATGGCCAGACAACAGTCCCACCAGCAACCTTAGGTTGGCTCTACCCAGAGATAGGCAGAAGCGTCCATCCTTAGCACTGGGCCCTTCAATGAGCTCTCGTGCCTGGCGGAGATGTCTAGAGATACTTCTCCATTTCTGAGAGTGTTGTCTTGCAACCCACGTCTCCATTTTCCTCCTAGCTTTATGCGCGGTTACTCCTAGAGCTGGCTCAGGACCAACGAGCTTGCTGGCTGATCCTGTTTTCGCCAGAGTGTCCGCCGTCTCATTGCCCCTTATCCCAGCGTGCCCCGGTACCCATATTAACGATACCGGATGCCTCGCTGCGAGGCAATCCAGAGCCTCCCTGCATTGCAATACAAGACTCGAAGTAATCTTACATGCACTTAGTGCTTTCATTGCAGCCTGGCTGTCGGATAAGATTGTTATTCTTCTCCTAGGCCCACCCTCCTCCAGAATGTGAGATACACAAGCCAGAATCGCAAAGATTTCCGCCTGGAAAATGGTGGTGTACTCACCGAGAGGCAGAGATAGCCTAGTTCTAGGTCCAGAGACCCCAGCACCTGAGCCCTCTTCGGTGACCGAGCCGTCCGTGTACCAGACCTGCCCGCTCACTTCGGAGAGTCCTCGGCTACCGGCGTCCCACTCCTCCCTCGTTGGGTACTCCACAATGAACTTGCGGTTGAAGCGATATTTAGGGGTAATACGATCACCCCTGCTTAGAAGGACGGGGTCCTCCCTTTCTAATTCGACTAATATGGCAGTATGCCCCTTGACCGGATTCAAGAAAGCCCAGCTGCCCTGACTCCACAGTCGATGAGCGACTACTCTCGCTTCACCGCGGATCACCAGATCCAACGGTGGGAGATCCAACAGAGCTTCCATTGCACTCAATGGCGTTGTTCGCACTGCGCTTGAAACTGAGGCGAAGTTGTGACGTCCGTACGGAGCGATCCACAGTTATCATCCCGTAAGGTAAAAGACCTTAAATTGCACCCATATAAAATTGAACTAGTGTAGGAATTGAAACCGCAGCACCACCATCTACGCCGTGCGTTTACCGAAACGTTAGAGCGCTTTCCAAGTTTGAACAATAGTCTCTTTTCAGATGAAGCTCATGTTCATTTGAGTGGATTTGGCAACAAGCAAAATTACCGGTATTAGGCCGCAAATTAAAACACTAACGACCTTTGCATTCGCATTATGTTACAGTTTGGGCGGCCATGCTGGCTGAAGGAATCATCCGGCCCTATTCGAAAACGAGCAAAGCCAGTAAATTCTAATCGCTACTCAGCAATGCTACCTAACTTTTTCTTTCCGCAACTGCATCACTATAACGTACTAGGGAAAATAGATGTAAAACTGTAAAAAATCGTAGTTTTTGCAAAAAAAGGTTTCTAAACCAGACGTGTTATTACACATTAGCTTATTAGCTAAAATAAAAGTTCAAGATACATACGTATAAGATCGACCAGCCAAAGATTGCTAGGGACGAAAGGGGGAAATGCGATGAAAAAACCTTACCATTAGACGATTTTATATGGAGTCATAGGCGGAGATCGGAGAGACTTGAATTATTAATTGAATTTATATTTTATTACAACTGGTAGTATTAATATTTTTTTGCGATTCATAATGACGTGATACCAAACATACATTATAAGAAATAAATATACACAAACACTGAATATTGAGAACAAAATAAATATATTTTTTAGGCAACAAGTAATATTCCTATGTACGCATTATGATTGAACAGCAAAACAAATTATGCATTCTTCTAAAATAGAATACAACAAGTCAAAAATATCTGACTGAATAGAAAAATATAGGAAAACAAAAAGTAATTTCTTGATGAAATAACCCATAAACAACACATAGAATTAGACTTTCTACTGAGATACTAAAAGCCACAAACCAATAGTATAATAAATGAATATCTAAAAATTCTAAAAGGTAGCCAATCTAGTATAGTTTCAATCCTGATTAGAGTCATGATCACTGTCTGAGGAACTGTCATTGCTATCACTTTCACCTCCTATGTTGATTATTATTTCTTCCTGTATTTCTTGAATGAGACTGTCTTTTTCCCAATATTCATCTTCAATTTTTATAACATGTCCAATAACCTTTTGCCAGTCACTGGCACTTACTGAAGCGATGGCCTTATTAGAAATTTCATCTAGTTTTTTTATAGTAAATTCGCCGCTTGTATTATGGCTTCTAATGAAAAATTTTACTTGTGCCCAAATCATCTCTATGGGATTAAACTGACACATATAGGGTGGCGTTCGAAGTGGGGTGTGTCCGAAACTTCTTATTAAATTATCTATCTTATAATTTTTCTCATCAGATGGTGGCCTATGTAGACAAGCTATTTCATAAAGCTCCATTTTTTTAGCATTAGGATCATGCTCTATACCTTTTTTGCTCAACCACGTGATGATGTCTCTTTTTAGAGAAGATCTAGTTGGAGGCTTGTCTTCCAAAGCTGAATGGTAAGGTGCATTATCCATTATTATAATACTATTAGGAGGAATGTTAGGAAATAGTTTTTCAGTAAGCCACTTCGTGAAATTTTCTTGGTTCATTTGACCGTGATAATCACCAGTGGCACAGCCAGCCTTGAAAATGAGACAGGCTCCAGGAACAAAACCATCTTGCGAACCCGCATGAACAATTATAAGTCGTCCTGGAAATGAACAAATAGCCTCATTTTAGTGTTATTTTAAGTTTGCCAACACCTTTTTGAATCACTATGTATAAAAAACATATTTTTGAGAAAAAAATACTTGCAAGGGATTATGTATTCAATTAGACAAATTAAATGAGCACTTATTAAGAATATTCCAAAATTGAGAAAAATGTATAATAAGCAAAATCGAGGTGAAAGAAACTTTATTACCTGTAGAACTTATATTGCTCAGGACACCCATAATTTCTTCGCTTTGCCAGCATTTCTTGAAAGTGAGGTCATTATCAACCCAAGTTTCGTCCAAATAAATAATATGCCTTCCTTCTTCCCGGAACTTTTTAATAGACCTAAGATACTTGTATCGCCAATGTAAAATACTGGGTCTTTCCATTAGTAATTTCCTTTTGTTGTGGCATTTACGCCAGTAAAATCCTTTTGCTTTTAAAAGCAGCCTCAACGATTCTTTACCAAATGGAAATTCCATTTCTTCCTTCAGTTTGATTAGAAGTTTACTACAAGTAGGTACCACTTTAAAATCACAGTAAAATTTTTCTATCATTCTCCGAATAATGGAAAAATCGACTCCATCAATTTTTTGGATCACAGAAGGGCGTGATCTCTTTTTTCCGGGAGAAGCTAAAGGCTGTGTGGAGGTTGCATTTTGCCTGTCTTTATCTTCTTTTCTAATTTTACTTATAGTTCGTTCACTAACACCCGTATAATATGCCGCCCTTGCATTTCTAGCTACCAGTGGATAAACGAAAGTATTGTTAGCCGCTTCTGCATCGCAAGCACGTATCACGTTTGCTATTATTTCCCTTGCCTGGCTGTGAATAACTTTCCCATGCTTGAATTCCATTATCACCACTAAACAGTAAATTATATTTTCAAAGTATTTGCCAACTGCCTACGCCTATGGGAGTAGGTTTATAAATGACCGTGCCATCGGCACGTTATTCTAGTTTCAGATAAGATAAGAGTTTTGGACCAATCAGCGACCGGATGTTTACCTGCGGCCTGGGTTTTCCAGCTACATTGCCAAATTCAGCGGAACAATTCTATATCTTAAATATGTTAATATGTATGGACCGCATTTTATGTAGAACATCTGACAACTTCGCAATTTTTTGTCCGCATTCTTTCGGCTTGCAATCTTTCGCTGGTCCAACAGTAAATGATGGTATTTACTTGGTAAACTGTGTAGAGGTGTTGTTTTGTGATTTTTCAATGTCTTCTTGAAATTCCTTAACCATTTTTGTTTTGCGTTTATAATAAATATTTGAAAGTAAGCCATTTTGTAATGCTCATTTCTTGACAAATAAGATAAATGATCTCCATTGTTGCCAAGTTGTACCTTTTTTGGAAGAAATACGTAATCAGAAATGAGGTTATTTGCAAAATAAAAGTCATAATTTATTGTAAATGGCTTGTTTTTTGAAAAGTTGTCCCAATATTTACCGAAAACTAGATGAAATTTTGAACAGTATGTGTCTAAACAGTGGACAATGCACCAGCGGCTCGCGTGACAAAGAA